AGCAGCTCTCGGCTGGCCCAGCCTGGTGAGTCATGAGGCGGGGAGTGTTTTCCTTTATGCAATTCTGCAATTCCCTGTCCTGACCCTGAGGCTGTGTCCATCTGACCTTGGCGGCAGCTTTTAATTGCAAGAATTATTGACCATTTTCTTGTTGCTGGTGCCTTTCAGGACATGTAGAAGATTCAGACAACCCTGAGGACAACTGATGTGTCATCAATGAGGACACGCCATGGAATACTGACATCATGTCCCATTTGCCTTATTTCCTTCTGCTTGAAAGAGTCCTTATCTCTGTCAACTTCTCTTTGTGTTAAGGGTATCCAGTCCCATCAGTCTCCTGGAACTGCTCTTTGTCAACCATGTCGATGTCCTTGTTGCACTCTGCAGCCCCACCAGTGGTGCAAGACAAGACAGTCGACTTCCTCATCTTCCTCCTATTACTTTTGTTATTATGTATTTCCTAACTCCCTCCTGGTGATTGCTGGAACTTTTTACATCAGAGGGTCCATGGCCATCTCATGATCCATTTATGCTCCATCAGGATCACAAGGTGGAATGCTTTTTTTGACAAGGGAATGGCAACCAGAGTCATGTTCCTGGAATTCTATCAGGGCCTTAAACCAGTTTAAAGATAAGGACATCCTTATGTTTAAACTGCAGACACTTGGGTTTGAAGGGTTGACTAACCAATGGATGAGTAATTGTTCCCCTCATGCTGTTTCTTCTCCTTATCCTCCACAAGGTTTCCTTTCCATGTGTCAGTCACAGCCCAACAATGGGACCCCACATTGTGACCTTTCTTGGCCCAGAGCACCAGGGATGGACCCATACAAGACTGTGAGGAGCACAGGACACCTCCCTAAGTCATATGGATTGCTTTCCCATCTCCAATGGCAAAGGCCAAGAATATAGACAAGCCTGGAGAGATGCAGCCAAGGTAGGAAGGAAGAGAATGTGATCAAAGGTGCAGATGTTCACCCCAGAACAGCTGCAAAGCTTAGAGCAGCCTAAAAAAGGGAGCTGAGGTTGTTTAGCCTGGAGAAAAGGAGACTCAGAGGTGACCTTATCACTTTACAACTTCCTGAAAGGTTGTTGTAGTCAGGTGGGGGTTGGTCTCTTTCCCCAGGTTCTGACAGAATGAGAGGACACAGTCTCAAGCTGCATCAAGGAAAATATAGGTTGGATATTAGGAGAAGGTTTTTCACTGAAAGAGTGATAAAGTACTGGAATGGTCTGCCTGGGGAGGTGGTGGAGTCACCATCCCTGGATGTGTTTAAAACAAGACTGGATGTGGCACTCAGTGCCAGGGTTTAGTTGAGGTGTTAGGGTATGGTTTGGACTTGATGATCTTGAAGGTCTCTTCCAACCCGTGGATTCTGTGAATTCTGTGAATTCTGTGAAAAGCTCTCTGAGGAAATGGGGTCCCTCTTCACCACACACACACAAAGCACAGCACACCAGTGACGTGGGGTGACCTCACTGATGACGCACCATCTCCACAAAACTTTGGTAACATCTTCAACCTATCCTGACATAAACCATCAACATTTAACCTCTAACAATCACATGTAAAATCTACCACCAAGGTCGGACAGACACAGCCTCAAGAGAAGGATGTGGAATTGCAGAATCGCACAAAGGAACGCCAGCACCATGACAGAGAAGGAAGGAACAACTCACTAACTGTCCATTAGTAATTACTCATTTTTGCTAATAGGAACACAATGTTACATTTCCGGGATAAAAGTTATGAAACTCTTTGGCTTGATGCAGAATAAATAAATTGACGTGGCAAACCAAGCTGGGAAAAAAAGGATGGGCCCGGATTTGTTGTTGACTATTGGATTTCTAAATGAGATCAAGAAATACGCTTTCAATGATAGAGTGGCTTGTTGGGTAAATATTAGAAATCTAAACAGGCTATAACATTGGAACAAGTGCAGTCTGAACAGCCTCTGCTATCCAAGATCCTCTCTCAATCCCATTCAAGAAACAAGAGCAAGAGCCCAGTTTCATCCATCAGGAAACACTCCTAGGCACTGGGACCTTGCCAAGCTGTTGCAGAGTGACATTGCCAGGACATCAGCAGCTCCTTCAGCATTCCTGTGAGAAACACAATGACTGATGGACATCCAGCAGCACAAAACAGAGTCCCAGTCTTCACAAGGCACCCACAAACCACATCACACAAGACACACTGATGACATTGCACCTCTGCTGGTCTCTGCTTGTTTATTCAACCTTCACGTTTATGTATCTAACAACCAAGATCAATTCTCACTCTAAAGCTGCCTCCAAGGTCAAATGGAAACAGCCTCAAGTGGAGGACATGGAGTTGAAGAGTCGCAGGAAAGAAAACACTCCCCACCTCATGACTCACCAGGCTGGGCCAGCCAAGAGATGCTGTGTAATAAATGCCCCAAGGCCATGGGACAAGGCTGTCCCACCCCTCCAGGATCAGCATAAAAGCCAGCCCAGAGCCTCTCTCAATCCCACACTTCTCCTGAAGCCTTCTCCACCTGCTCCTGCTGACAACCAGGTGAGACTCAAGCCCCTGGCCCCTTTCTTCCAGCACGCTCAGCCCCAGCCTCAGCAGCCCTCACGCCTCCCCACAGCCCCACAACAACCTCCACACTCACCCTCCTGCATCTCTGTCCCTCACACCCCCCCACCCCCACCCTGCCTCACCCCTCTCTCTTCCAGGCACCCTCCACTGGATCCCTTGCTGGATCCCAGGCCTGGATACAGGAATGCAGGTCTATCCCTGCCTCTAATAGAAGCCATGTATGAGTCTTCTTTTCAATTTGGCTGGACACCAGTTGCTCCAGACCCTCATCATCTTCCAGGGTCATCTACAGCTCTGCTTCAGCAGGTCCATATCTTCCATATCCTCAGGTGCCCAGAGTTGAACACACATCTCCAGACTCTGAAAAGCTGAGCAGAGAGCCAGAATTGCCCGCTCACCTGCTGCCTATGCTGTGGTGATGAGCCCAGGACACCGAGGGGTTTTGTTCTGTGAGTTTTCATGGGCAGGGGATGTCCAATTCTTCATCCATCAGCACCTCAAGTTCTCCTTGGGCATGCTCTCAATCAACTCATTACCAATCTGTTATCCATTACTGAGATTGTTATGTGTCTGAGGGGACAACACTGCCCGGCTCATTATTTAGGATGTTGAACAGAGTTGGGCCCAGGGATCTGACTCCTGGGCTGCAGTACTGGGGATTCACCTCCATTTGCACTTTGGGCCACTGATCCTCAGCCTCTGGCCTCAGCCCTTCAGACTCTCAGCCACTCACTCCATTCTCAGGCAACCTGGACCTGCTTAGCTGCTCCGATAGTGTAGAATGGGAAGGATTCTTGAAGGCTTCACAAAAGGGGTGTGTCCAACAGCAGCACCAGCTCTCTCTTCATGCCCAGGCTGAGTCACTTGCACAGGGCAGACACACAGCTCAGCCAAGCACCATTTCCTCAAGGGAAATCTTCCAAGATAAGTGGCCTCAGCTCTGGCCACTTGCCACATCTCAAGGCCCCAAAGGCCTGTCTCACCCCTCTCCTGTTGCCACTCCCATTTTCATGAAGAGCAAATTCTTCCTGAAAAGTTTGATGGGGTTCCAACACTGGTGAACGACAGAAGAGCAATTGATATTGTGTACATAAACTTGTGCAAAGCATTTCTTCCTGTGGCAGAAAACATCCTTATCTCTGACCTGGAGAGATGCGGAGTTGATAGCTGGAACATCAGTTGTGGGGTGGAAAATGGACAGGATGGTCTCACTCAGAGTTGTGGTCAGTGGCTCCATGTCTGTGAGGGGAACAGGGATGCGTGGTGACCTACAGAGGCTCATATCGGGGCCATTATTGTTTCCCATTTTGTCAGGTACAAGGATAGTGGATTGAGTGTCCCCTTAGCAAGAATGGGAATGACATCAAGGTGAGCAGTGTGGTTGATTGTCTGGAGGGAAGGGATGGCATCCAGAGAGCTCTTGACAGGCTGGGGTGGTGTGATTGTCATGAAGGTCAACAGGACAAAGTGCAACTTCCTAAATCTGAATTGGAACAATCTCAGTAATGGATATTGGATGGCTAATGAGTCAATTAAGAGCATCCTCAAGGAGAAGGACTTGGGGTGTTGATGGATGAAGAATTGGACATGCCCTGGCCATGTGAACACGCCAAACAGAAACTGCCCATACCATGGGCTCATTGCCACAGTGTGGGCAGCGGGTGAGGAGGGAATTCTGGGCCTCTGCTCTGCTCTGGTGAGACTGGAGTTCTGTGCTCAGCTCTGGGGCCTCAAGGGTAAGAACCTGCTCACGTGGATTTGTAGAAGGGCTAAAGAGATAGTGAGAGACTGAAACAACTGCTCTGTAGCCAATGGAAAAACATGGCCCAGGAGGGGGTTGTGTCAGAGGCAGGGATAGATCTACCTTAGTTTATCGAGTTTATCCAGGCGTAGGATCACACAGGTGAAGGGTTTGTGGTATGCACCTGAAGAGCAAACTGTGCCAGTGTGTGCCCGTGAAGGAATAGGAGACATAACAATGCTACAATGCAAGAGAATTTTATTGAGGCAAAAGAAGAGTAAGAGGTCATCAGTGGCAAGAGAAAAGGGAGCTGGTCTGAGGTGGAAGTAGGGTGACCATCAGCCGAGCTCCTTTGCTTGCCGGTGGTTCAGTCAGAGCATCAAGGCCATCCTGCTTCGCAGTAGAAGCAACCTGATGGTGAAGATTCCCAATGGTCTCTGGCTTGGGACAAGGGATTTGCAGCAGAGGAGACTGGATAGAGCTGAAAGGGTGTAGGAGAAGAGCAGGAGGCAGATGGGCCATGTTTGCAGGTAGCCCGGCCTGGCCCCTTGGCTACTGCCCTGCTTGGTGCTCTGAGAGCAGGAGTTGGAAGTGCTGAGCCCGTTGACAGCTTTGACCCAGAGAGGCATCTGCAACACCTGGGGTGTGTTCCAGAGAGTGGGTGGTTGGTGTCAGGAGAGGTACTGAAGGCCCTCAGCAGTTGTAGCCATAGCCCCTTCTGCCATAGCAGCCCAGGCCTCCCAGCCCATAGCCAAATCCACAACCATAGCCCAGCCCATAGCCAAATCCATGGCCATAGCCAAGGCCAAAGCCACCAAATCCACCAGAGATTGGCTGTCCCTGGGCACTGAGCTCAGTGCCCACGGCAGCTGAGGAGGTGGATCCGACAGCGGTGCTCTGGGGGAAGGAGGTCATGATGGGTCCTGGCAGGGTGACCAGCACAGAGGCAGGGTCAATGATGACGCGGGAATCCTGGCATTGCAGGGCACAGGGCTCGTTGCAGCTGTTGGCCAGCGGGGTGGGTCCGCAGGGTCGGCAGATGTTGTTGCAGGCCATGGGTGTGGTGTGGAGGGTGCCTAGAAGAGAAAAAGGGTGAGTCAGGAAATGGGCATGGGGATGCAAGGAGCGAAGTGTCAGCTGGGTGAGGGAGTGTGGAGGCTGTTGTGGGGCTGTGTGGAGGCGTGAGGGCTGCTGAGGCTGGGGCTGAGAGTGCTGGAAGAGAGGGGTGAGAGGTGCAGGAGCAGGAGGGTCAGGTTTTTGGAGCTCACCTGGTAGTCAGCAGGAGAAGGCGTGAGGAGGTGTGTGAGGGAGAGAGGCTCTGGGCCGGCTTTTATACTGGTTGTGGATGGGTGGGACAGCCTTGTCCCATGGCCTTGGGGCATTTTGCAGACAGCATCTCTTGGCTGGCCCAGCCTACTGAGTCATGAGGTGGGGAGTATTTTCCTTTATGCAATTCTGCAGTGTCATGATTGGTTCCTGAGTCTGTGTCCATCTGACCTTGGCGGCAGCTTTAGAGTGAGAGTTGGTATATGGGAAGTTTTGATTGTTTGATGCGTGTCAAGAGGGCTGAATAAACAACCAGAGCCCAGCAGACTTGCGATATCATCAGTGAGGTCATCTTGTGGAACACGTCCTGTGGTTTTTGGGTGCTTTGTGAAGACTGGGATTCTCTTCTCTGTCGCTGGATGTCCATCAGTCACTGTGCTTCTCCCAGGAATGCAGAGAGGGAACTGCTGATGTCCTGGGGAGGTCACACTGCAATAACATGGAAATTTTATTGTGTGTAGGACTGTTCCTACTGATTAAAGAGATCTCATGGCTTGTGTCTTGAACTGAATCAAGAGTGAACATCTGGAAAAGTAGAGGCTGTTCTGGTTGAACTTGTTCTGCTGTCATGGTCAATTTGGAGTTCTCATCTTGACATTGTACTCTGTCATTTAAAGCATATTCCTTGACCTCATTAAGGAATCCATTAAACAACCCAGCTTGATTTTTTTTTCCCAGACTGGCTTGTGATGTCCTTGCCTTTAATCCACATTCATCCCATAAATTTTCATATCTCATATCCTTTTAGCCTTAATAATCTCTTCCTGCTAGAAAAACCCAGTAATTACTAATGGTTGGTTAGCACAGTTGTTTTCCCTCCTGTGTCATGGTATGGGCATTCCTTTGAGGAATTCTGCAGCTCCATGTCCTTCTTTTGAAGGACATCTGACCTTGGCAGCAGGTTTTAAGTGTCTTAGGGGTTGAGGGCAGGTGTTGATGCCATGTGTCATGGTGGGCTGAAGACATATCCAAAGCCTTGGAGAGCTGAGGTGTCATCAGTGAGGTCACCCCACAGCACCGCTGTGTCCTGGTTTTGGGTGCATTGTGAAGTGGGGCCCCGGACCATCACAGCTCTGTCAGGATTGTCTGGCTTTGCAGGAGAACTGCTTCTGAGGAAGTGCCCTTTCCATCGCATTCTCTCCATCCCCACCACGTTGCCAACATTCAGAGCCTGTCTATATTCCCAGCCTTTCCTGCTGGAGATGGGAAATCAAACCCTGTGATTTAGGATGGCCTCCCATGCTCACCAAAGTCTTGAGTTGGTTCATCCGTAGCGCTGGTCTCAGCTGTGACCAGCAAGGTAACACTGCGGGGTTCCACTGCTAGACTGTGACTGACCCACAGAAAGGAAAAATGCTGAAGGATAAGGAGAACAAGACACATGAGGAGCACAGTTCCCCATTGTTTGATTAATACACCCTTGAAACCCACGTGCCTGAGCATTAGAAATGTTGAGGGAGTGGACCGTCCTGGTCCCCACCACTGGTAGGGATCCTGAGAGTGCTGGAAGAGAGGGGTGAGAGGTGCAGGAGCAGGAGGGTCAGGTTTTTGGAGCTCACCTGGTAGTCAGCAGGAGAAGGCGTGAGGAGGTGTGTGAGGGAGAGAGGCTCTGGGCCGGCTTTTATACTGGTTGTGGATGGGTGGGACAGCCTTGTCCCATGGCCTTGGGGCATTTTGCAGACAGCATCTCTTGGCTGGCCCAGCCTACTGAGTCATGAGGTGGGGAGTATTTTCCTTTATGCAATTCTGCAGTGTCATGATTGGTTCCTGAGTCTGTGTCCATCTGACCTTGGCGGCAGCTTTAGAGTGAGAGTTGGTATATGGGAAGTTTTGATTGTTTGATGCGTGTCAAGAGGGCTGAATAAACAACCAGAGCCCAGCAGACTTGCGATATCATCAGTGAGGTCATCTTGTGGAACACGTCCTGTGGTTTTTGGGTGCTTTGTGAAGACTGGGATTCTCTTCTCTGTCGCTGGATGTCCATCAGTCACTGTGCTTCTCCCAGGAATGCAGAGAGGGAACTGCTGATGTCCTGGGGAGGTCACACTGCAATAACATGGAAATTTTATTGTGTGTAGGACTGTTCCTACTGATTAAAGAGATCTCATGGCTTGTGTCTTGAACTGAATCAAGAGTGAACATCTGGAAAAGTAGAGGCTGTTCTGGTTGAACTTGTTCTGCTGTCATGGTCAATTTGGAGTTCTCATCTTGACATTGTACTCTGTCATTTAAAGCATATTCCTTGACCTCATTAAGGAATCCATTAAACAACCCAGCTTGATTTTTTTTTCCCAGACTGGCTTGTGATGTCCTTGCCTTTAATCCACATTCATCCCATAAATTTTCATATCTCATATCCTTTTAGCCTTAATAATCTCTTCCTGCTAGAAAAACCCAGTAATTACTAATGGTTGGTTAGCACAGTTGTTTTCCCTCCTGTGTCATGGTATGGGCATTCCTTTGAGGAATTCTGCAGCTCCATGTCCTTCTTTTGAAGGACATCTGACCTTGGCAGCAGGTTTTAAGTGTCTTAGGGGTTGAGGGCAGGTGTTGATGCCATGTGTCATGGTGGGCTGAAGACATATCCAAAGCCTTGGAGAGCTGAGGTGTCATCAGTGAGGTCACCCCACAGCACCGCTGTGTCCTGGTTTTGGGTGCATTGTGAAGTGGGGCCCCGGACCATCACAGCTCTGTCAGGATTGTCTGGCTTTGCAGGAGAACTGCTTCTGAGGAAGTGCCCTTTCCATCGCATTCTCTCCATCCCCACCACGTTGCCAACATTCAGAGCCTGTCTATATTCCCAGCCTTTCCTGCTGGAGATGGGAAATCAAACCCTGTGATTTAGGATGGCCTCCCATGCTCACCAAAGTCTTGAGTTGGTTCATCCGTAGCGCTGGTCTCAGCTGTGACCAGCAAGGTAACACTGCGGGGTTCCACTGCTAGACTGTGACTGACCCACAGAAAGGAAAAATGCTGAAGGATAAGGAGAACAAGACACATGAGGAGCACAGTTCCCCATTGTTTGATTAATACACCCTTGAAACCCACGTGCCTGAGCATTAGAAATGTTGAGGGAGTGGACCGTCCTGGTCCCCACCACTGGTAGGGATCCCTGGAGAACAAGGACATGGAAATGGTTGACCAAGAGCACTACAGAGGCACCATGACATTGACTGGACTGGGGTAACCTCAAAATGAGGACAAGGAAAGAAAACTGGGAGTTCTTTCAAGCAAGAAACAAGAATCAAATAGGAGATGTCATCAATATCCGATGGTATGACCTTAAAGAAAACACCCCAATTACCCTAAGATTCGGCTGAGTATTTCACATGTCCTAACACACCATATACAATGACATAATAGTCATCAGTTCTAGCAATTAAGATGTGCTGCCAAGGTCAGATGGACACAGCCTCAAGGGAAGAACACAGAATTGCAGAAATGCATAATGTAAAATACTCCCCAATTCATGACTCACCAATCTGGGCCAGCCAAGAGATGCTGCCTCAAAAATGCCCCAAGGCCATGGGACAAGGCTGTCCCACTCATCCACAACCAGCATAAAAGCCGACCCAGAGCTCTTCTCCCTCATACACTTCTCCTGACATCTACTCCTCCTGCAGACTACCAGGTGAGCCTTATGCCCCTGACCCTCCTGCCTCTGCAACCCTGGACACTCTCTTCCAGCATGCTCAGCCCCAGCCCCAGCAGCCCTCATGCCTCCCCACAGCCTTCAAACAGCCTACACACTCCCTTACCCTCCTGAATCACAACCACTCACATCCCCATACCCATTCCCTGCCTCACCCCTCTCTCTTCCAGGACCATCTACTCCATACCCATGGCCTGCTACAACATCTGCCGACCCTGCGGACCCACCCCGCTGGCCAACAGCTGCAACGAGCCCTGTGCCCTGCAATGCCAGGATTCCCGCGTCATCATCAACCCTTCCCCTGTGCTGGTCACCCTGCCAGGACCCATCATGACCTCCTTCCCCCAGAGCACCGCCGTCGGATCCACCTCCTCGGCTGCTCTGGGCACTGAGCTCAGTGCCCAGGGACAGCCCATCTCTGGTGGATTTGGCGGCTTTGGCCTTGGCTATGGCCGTGGATTCGGCTATGGCTGTGATTTTGGCTATGGGCAGGGCTATGGCTACGGCCTGGGCTGCTATGGCAGAAGGGGCTATGGCTACAACTGCTGAGGGATCTCAGCACCACTCCTGACACCACCAGCTCAGGAATCTGGCAACAGCTACTGCAAGAAAAGCACATTTGCTGGTGGTTGCCCTACTTGCACCTCACACCAGATCCCATCTTCTCTTTTCTCCTGTCTCTTCATTCTTGTGCCTCAATAAAGTTGTCCTGCATCAAAGCCTGATACGCCTCCTGTTCTTCTGTCATTCCAGTGGTTTCTCATCCTTACCAAGCACATTCCACACCTCTACCGGCCCTTGGGCTATGTGCAACAACACCTTCCCTCACAAATATGCCAAAACAACTAATAAAAACATCTGGCATAGGAAACCAAGGAGAGGACTCCTTCCAGAGCATGACACAAACCCATCACCTGATAGACCAAAGCCTTGGACACAGCCATGCTCCCCTGGGTACCGCTCTGGTCAAGTCACTCCATGTCAGAACACACTTGACAAACTCTTCCCCACCAGGACTCTTGAACCCCTCCAGCAATAAGAATCACAAAATCCTCCACTAGGGCAGGAAATCTGGAGC